CGCGCAGATCTAAGAAATCCGCGCGGACCGTTGGAAGGAGGAGGAGGAGGAGGAGGAGGAGGAGGAGGAGGAGGAGGAAGGAGGCAGGGTGGAGGAGGAGGAGGAGGAGGAGGAGGAGGAGCTTCTTTTCGTGGCGGAGGATCGAGGAGGAGGAGGGGAGGAAGAGGAGGATCGAGAAGGAGGAGGAGGAGGAGGAGCCTCTTTTCGTGGCGGAGGATCGAGGAAGAGGAGGAGGAGGAGGAGGAGGAGGAGGAGGAGGAGGAGGAGAGACCAGCGAAAAGAAACGAAAGGCTGCAGAGAAAGCGGAAGACTCCAGGCGCCCCAGATGGGATCCGAGCAGGTGGTGTCAGAGGATCGCGCCGCATCGCCGGTGCATCGGCGATGCGGCTCGATGTGGAGCCTGATTTTCTCCACGTCGACGTCGCCGTTGCATCGCCGACGTCGTCGATGCACCGCCGGCGCATCGCCGACGCATCGCTAACGTATCGGCGATGCGGCGCGATCCCCCGACCCCATCGATGCGGACCCCAGCGAGGAGGGCTCAAAGGACTGCAGTCCAGCGGAGCTTCACCGCATGGCGACCCCACGGGTGGCTGGCGGATGGCGGGAAGCGCGCTAGGACTCGAAGGGTCGCGCGATGGGTTCCGACCCGATGGGGAAATATTTGTCAACCGGAGAGGTCCAAGAAGGGCATGGACCATTCCCCTCCATGTTCGCGAGGACGACCGGCCTGTTCGGCGGCTGACGCACGGACGACGTACGGGCAACGCATGCGCGACGCGCCCCTTGTGGCGAAGGGGGGGGCGTCAGCGTACCAGTCGAGTTAGTGGGCTCCAACAGGAATGGTGACGGGGGACATCCGTAGACAACGCCCGGAGGATACACCACAATGGGTTGTTGGCCCGATACATTCTCACACAATGGAGATGTTGGAGGGTCTGTTCTCAGACGTCTTATCTTGAGCATGAAACTCTCGCTCGAGACATCCTCAGAGCATGGAGATGTTGAAATCGTTCGCGGAATCTTCGTATCCTCGAGAATGGAGCTCTCGCCGGAGACATCCTCAAATATTTTGGGCTTCTTTTGGAGGGCCCCCAAGATGGCCGAAATTATTGAGGAAGCATTGCTTGTTATCCAGCACAAGTACTTGTATTTAGCAGTCTGCGTTTCTCTCGAGACATCCTCGACCAAATGCGCTCGGACAGGCAAAGTGATGACAACACGTATGGTTGTCACATATTTTTCATTTAGTCGTAAGCGTTTCGCTACAGATATGCTCAAAAGAGTGCTGAGGGTCTCCAAACATATCATATTCAAGTGGCCTTCGGCCAGTGCCGCCGATCCGGGTCGCTCGGGGTTACCCCCCCGACGCAGACATTACGGGCGCACGCTCAAACACACACACACACACCACACGCCACACGCGCACACTATTTTGTCGCTGCCTTTGGCCAGTTCCTGGCCGCGCCATTCCGCACTCGCGCGCGCGCGCCACCACGATTCCACGATCACGATGTCGCGTGGAATAGAAATGCGCGATCGCCTGGCCGAGAAAGTGGCAAAGTGAAACCGCGGCACCTGGAAAAAAAAGCCAGGAGAAAAAAGAAAGAGAGCACAGTGCCATTGTACAGCATTCGTTTCCTCCTGCTTCCCCCCCCGTGCATCTCCTCCCTCCTGCGCTTCCTGTCCTTCCACTCTTGTGCTCCGCCTCCTTCCTTCCTCCAGTGCATTCTCCTCCTCCCTCTTTCCGTCTTTGTGATGGTGGTGGCGATGGCGGTTGAGATGTTGAAAACGTTGTGCCCGCAATTCTACAGTGTCTCTCTGTCAAAGCAGCACACGCGCTACATTTTTGAGCGCATGTGCAGAGGGTCCGTTTGTTAAAGCAAGAATTCCGCCATCCCTTCAGCGCATCTACAGGTTTTTTCTTGTAGAAGGAGGACATCTGCCATCCTTGGGGCGCATCTACACAGGGTCTTTCTGTAAAAGCAGGAAAACAAACACCCCTGCAACGCATGTACAGAGGGTCTTTCTGTAACAACTCCACATTCCACGCGCGACCCGTTGAACGCGCCCTCAGAGGGTCCCTCTTATAAAGCAGCACAGCCGCCACCCCTTGGGCGATTCTACAGAGGGTCCTTCTGTAAAAGCACCAAATCCGCCACCCCTTGAGCGCATCTACAGAGGGTCCTGTTGTAAAAGCTGCAAAGCCCGCGCGCCACCCCTTGAGCGCATCTACAGAGGGTCCTTTTGTAAAAACACCCCCGGAAACCGCCGGACCACCCCCCCGTTCCCCCTTCCCCAACCAAGCGTTCTGAGGCGGTTTCTCCGGAAATCCAATGGTTTTCAAAGCAAATCCACGCCACCGGACTGCCCCCCCCCCACGCCACCAGAACCCATGCCACCGAAACACCCCCCTCCTCCCCACCCCCACGCCACCAGAACCCACGCCACCTGACCCCCCCCCTCCCCCCCCTCCCCCTCCCCGGCAAAGCCACCCCGGTCACCCCCACCCCCTTAAACTCACACGCGGGATCGGCGGATTGTGAGAAATATGTTGACGTTAATGCTGACGCTGTTGCTGCTGATCACGATGTACATGATGATTCTCATGGTGATGATGTGGATGATTATGATGATAAACATTGCAATAGGCGATGATGACTGTGATGGCGATGA